ATATTTGAAATACTGTATATTCTAATAGAGAAATAAGATACTACAGTCATAGAATAAAATTAGCATGCTATGTAGAGAAGTGTCAATAGAGACAAGAAATAGCTCATAGAAATAAAAATTATGGTAGAAAATTTTCTCAACATTCAAAAGGAGGTTTCATCAGTCAAATCTTCCAGGAGTTAGAATCAGAAGACCGAAATGGAAAATATAAGAAAATGAGATCAATCCAGTAACTAATGTCCTGGAGTTCCAGGAAGAGGAAATATTAAAGTATATGGCATCAAAATATTTTAAAATAGTAGAAGAAAACATCCTCAAACCAAAAAAAAAAAAAAAAAGCCTTCCGATTGAAAAGGGCTCACTGAAAACTCCACACAACGAAAAACAGCTGCATTCCAAGACTGAGCATTATAAAGTTTCAAAATGACAAGGAAAAAGAGATGACTGTAAAAGTTTCCAGAAAGACAAAAAAAGGCAAATCATAGACCAAGTACTAAAAATCAGAGTGACATAGGGCTTTTCAGTCGTACCATTAGGATCCTGAAGACAGCAGAATAGTCCTTAAAAATCCTGAATGAAAACTAATTTCAAAATAGAGTTTTATACCCAGCCAAACAATTGTGTATGCATACAATAATAACATTTTCAGGCATACAAATACTCGAAACGTATTTTTCATGTAACTTTTCTTATGAAAGCTACCTGGAGATTGTACTTCAACCAAAAAAGGAAATAAATTGAGAAACATGGTAACTTATGACCCAGAAAACAGAAAACTATAAAAGAGCATGGGGAAGGCTTAACACAAGATAGAGATCAACCAGGCCATACATAAGATGCCAAGAAGCATATGTCCAGGAAAAATTTTTTAAAAGAACTTATACTTTATCTAATAGGTGATTTGAAAAGTTATTATTGATGGTTGTTTAACAGATATGTTTGAATATTTGGGGGAAAATGTCAGTTACCTAGAAAAACAAACTATTAAAAACCTAGCGATTTTAGAAATAATAAAATTATACATAAGACAGTTTTTTTAAAGATGGAGTCTTGCTCTGTCACCAGGCTAGAGTGCAGCTGAGTGATCTGAGCTCACCACAACCTCCCGGGTTCAAGCAATTATCCTGTCTCAGCCTCCTGAGCAGCTGGGAATACAAGTGTGTGCCACCACACCCAACTATTTTTGTTTGTTTGTTTGTATTTTTAGTAGAGACAGGGTTTCACCATGTTGGCCAGGATGGTCTCGATCTCTTGACCTCATGATCTGCCTGCCTCCAAAGTGCAGGGATTACAGACATGAGCCACTGTGCCCGGCCCAAAATTAGTTTAGACAAGATAATGCTTGTCTTAGTAGTGAGCAAATTTTTCATGATCATTATAATTTAAGTGAACTAGTGACTAATAATTTAACCGAAATTGTTATATGGGAGCATGAGGTGGGTATGTAGGATGGGTGGTATGAGGCCTAAATTGTCAGCCTTCTTCACATAAGAAAGGTCTAATGTTGAAAACTTGGCAAATAGCAGTGTAAGTTTGTCTTTTAAAAATGCGAAGATAAACATTGGAAGAGCTGATGGTGTATGCCACTGGAGATTAGCTTTGAAATGGGTGAGGTAGGGCATCGGCACTGCTCTTCCTTGTTACTGGCCATTTAGTACTCTTTGACTTAAATTGGGTGCATTACTTTGACAGGCAAATTTAATCAACAATAAAAATAAAGTTACATATGCCCATGATTAAGAAAAAAACTTCCTACAATGTGGAGGGATATATATGAACAGTATCAAGTCTCCCCTCTTCCAAATTCAATCCCCAGTACTGTTTTCTTTTAACAGTTTCTACGTTTAGTTGTTCTGGTGGTCATATTCAAGACTTGAAAGATACCTTTTGATGAGGTGTAAAGCTATCTGGACCTGCCTTTGCCCAGTTAGCCAAAAGATGGCCACATCAAACTGCACTGTAGACATGCAGGTTAATAGTGTGCTTTGAGAGTAATGTACAATTGGCCTATGGCTGTGGTTGGTCTTTCATCCCCAAGCCACTATATACAGCCAGGGAAGCAGCCTGACCTAGTTGGGTGAGGCAAAGGGTTATCCTGCCAGTGGGAGCATGGCATTTCTGGCAAGAGATTTCTCTTCTAACTGTTGGACTTGCTGCCATGGCAGATTTTCCTGACTCAGGGAGTAAGTGTTGAGCCCTGGTCCAGCTGGTTAGATTATTTGTTGATTTTGATTATCTGCACCAATAAGCTCTTTTGCTGGCATGGATGATCAGAAGCAGGCAGTAATTTTCCATCTTCCTAACAAAAAATACATTTCACATTTTGAAATTACAATAGAAGAAGTTTTATTCAGTTTTCACCTTAATACTGCTTTATTGGGGAGGGGGAAATGTTATGATTTAAATTAAGAACTCGTTAGGGATAGTCACATATTCTTAGGTGGGCCATTTTTTCTTATCACTTTGCTGTTCTTGAAAGATGGAGGGAAAAATCAATAATAATGATCATTGCCGTCTTTTATTCAGCTTTTACTATGCGTGAGGCACTCTGCTAAGTATTCCTAGCCTGATTTAATCTTCACAACAGTTTTAAGAGCTGCTTATTCCTCTGATTTGAGAAGGAAGAAACTGTATAATAGTCCAGTGACTTGTCCAAGGTCACATAAAAGTGCCAGAGCTGTGTCTGGAGCCCTGGTTTGTGTTGGCTGTTGGACCTGTGTTCTTTACCTCTGTGTTTGGCCTGTCTTTCAACACAACCCTTGACTTTTCATTACATGAGCAAAAGAAAGAAATTAATTTATACTTAAAACCTAATTACCAGTGTAAGGTACATATGTTGTTATTGTTGCTTAGTGCTTATAAAAATTGTATCTTTTCTTTTTAAAAAAGTCAGAAATTTTATACATTTTCTATTTCTGTCATTCTTTTGTATTCGCTCAATTCAGAATTCTGGAGTCATCTTTGGTCTTCCAATTCCCCTCCTTTGATTTCCGTAAAATCTCCATGTTCTCTTTATATTTCTGTGTTAAGTCCCTCCACTCCTCATGTTTGGAATCCTGCAGTTATCTTTTCATGGTCTCCCTTCTGCCATTCTTTGCCACCTTAAATTGATTGTACACATTGATCCAGTTTTCTCAAGCTCAACTTCTGTCATATTGCATACCTGTTTAAACCATTAATGTCTCCCCATTATCTATAAGAAAAATAGAGTGTTATTAATCTGTAATTCAAAACCTTTCATAATGTGATCTGAAGTATCATCACCTTTCTCACTTTTCTTGTTCATGCTAATATATCCCTCATCTGGCTACTGAGGCATGAATTTTCTCTATAACTCAGTTGGTGTTTTTATATGCTTTGCATTTTGATCGTCTTCTTGTGTATATGTGTCTCATTTGCCCAGATGAATTATTTACTCCTGAGTGTAGAGATGGGAACTCTGAGTTCATTATATTATTTAGTACAATTTCTTGCATACAGCACTGTGTAAAAAAATTAATGAATACATTTTTGAAGTTTTAAAGTTAACATGTAATTCCAATTCTATAGTTCTTTCCTTTTGTTAATTTCATAAATGTTAGACAATAAAAATTTAATGATCTTTATTATTTTTATCTCTTTAATTGTATTGAATTATGAAATTGAAAATATGTTGATCTAATTTTAATAACACAATATTTTAAAGAAGTAAGTCAGTTTAACTTAGTATTCCAATTTGAAAGATAGAGAAAATCAACACTGAATGAAAATGTTATAATTGTTACACAGTTTTTAAAAAATAAACCAATCTATGAGAACTGTAATAAGTGATTATATTGTTGGTTAATGTATGGTGTTGATGGAGATAAACTGAATAGTTACACTGTTATGAATTAAGAAAAATATAAATGAATTATTCAGTTTATCCTACATGATGTATTAAATGTAGTTGGAGGTTTTTCAGAATATTTAACAAGGACATGAGGAAATTTAGAAATTTATTTAAATACTAAATTTAAATCCCTCTACTTAAATATGATTTTGTTTTCCAAAAGGAGGTTACATTTTTATGGATCAAAAGTTTGCTTCTTGCTTTCTGCTGAATTCGAACCCTTTCTTCTTTTTTTCTTGTTTTAATAACCTGAATATTTTTAAGTGTTCATCTTTTATTTTCTTTGGCTTAATTTTACAGATGTTCTGTTAATAAATAAATATTTCTACTTTAGTATATAAATTATTTAAAATTGTGGCCTATATGAGTATTTTTGCTTTGAAATATTTGAATTTCAGTAAGATAAGGATAATTTCATCCTGAAACCAAAAAATAAACCTTCACAAATTTTATATATTCGTATTTATTAGTCTTACAGTGTTCTTGTTGACTTTTTAAATTGCAAATTTAAATGGAAATATTATTTTAGCTCAGATATCTCCTACATTATCAATGCTTAAATTTCTCATGCTATTTTTTCCTGAATTTTTTTTCCAAGTAATATTGAACATTATAATCATGCCATTTTTTACACCTCACGTCTTTCTAAAATATCTCTTAAATTATTTATTTTAACCTTTAATTTGGTTTTCAAAATACCCAAATGAAGCCATAATTTGATCTTTGAGAGTAAAAAGTACATATTTGATGTAAATCACTGCATGCATGTGTCTGAATCTCACACAAAAATGTTACATTTTAAAGGTAGTGGCATTTTAAGTAAATATTACTTTTGAAAGGGAATGACTTTTAGAATGGTAGTACAATTATCCACTTTGAATACTCTCATTTAATTGTTTTATTTTCAAAATTAGACCTTATTTTGCAATCCAAAAAAAAAAAAAAAAAAAAAACCTCACTAATGTGCATTTTTGGATGTGCTAATTCCCTTTGTCATAAAATGGAAGCTAGCCTAAATTTTCTAATAATTTTTTATCACATTGAAATTCATGTCAAAAAATAAAAATGAGCTAATTTTGAATTCAAGTGCATATATTTTATATGGATGCTTTTTCCTTTTCTCTCTAAGGAAATAGAAAAACTGAGAATAGAACTGGGTGAAAGCAAGCAGCACTTGGAACAGGAGCAGCAGAAGGCAGCCCGGGCCAGAGAGGAGTGCCTGAAACTAACAGAACTGCTGGGCGAATCCGAGCACCAACTGCACCTCACCAGGTACTCCCTAATCCCATTATGCGCCACAGCACCGATTTCATTCCACTGATTTTTGCCACAGGCTTCCAAACAGTTGTTAGAGTTAGTCTTAGTCATTCAGTTCACACATAGCTTTCAGGCATATTAAGAAAAGCGGAGATGTGGTAAGCAAAACACCCAGACATGTGAATGATAAGTGTGGCAGGGAATTACTGATATATTACAAAACCTTTCATCTACAATGCTCAAATATTTAGGTGATTCTCTATCAATATAAGCAAAATGACATATTTCTCCTACCACCAGTACTACCTCTTCTGCTAATTCTACGTCTAATAAAAATCTTGAACTGAAGGAGCTGAGGAATTTATTTAGGAAAATAATAAAATACTGTCAGTGGTGAAAGAGTCAAAGTAAATAAATTGTAAGATGCAAATTGAAATGGAACTGATACAAAATAAGGAATCTGCATCCTAAGGAGGTGTAAAATTTCAAGATGAAATAGATTGGCACTGCTTATGTTCGAATTATTATTACACAGGCTTTCACCATTGAGGCTTCAGATTACTTCGCTTCCATCATGAGATTTTGTGATGTGATCATCATTGTCATCAACTTTAGTAAATATGTAGCTCAGCCCTAAATTACAGTAAGACCCTTAGGTTGTAAGCATTGTGAATTTGCTGTGTTGGAAAAGCACACCCTCATAAATACACACATTGAGAGAAAAATTCAAATAGAGATCGTAGATATTTCACTTTATCATATGTGGTTTCTTTTCACTTTGAGTTTTATTACAATTTTTCAATGTTCACATCAAGCCTTTGATGTTGCTCAGTTCTTAAGAGTTTTTCAGTTTTTAGAGAGAACTTTGTTTAAATAAAATGTAAGTTTATGATATTTGGTTTGGTTTATAAATTAGAAAAGCACTGGTCTTCCAATCATAGTAATATGTTGAATTTAAACTATGAAAGGGGACTGATCCCTTTTACATTAAACATGACAATGTAATTCTGAGCACGGTATGCTAACAGATGGAGAAAAGCACCACTTGAACAGCCTGCATTTGGAGAAAAAAATATTCTAGAGGTTGGTGAACCTCCCAAAGTTTTGGGTTAGTGTTAAGATGCCTCTGGTTCTGTTAAAATCAAACCTTGTTTAAAACATTTTGTTATGATGATATTCCAAGTGATTTAACATCTTCCCTTTTAAACAATAAAAGAAAGAGGAAAGAAAGAGACAGAAAGCAAAGAAAGAAAATAAATTATTTATACATGTATGGTGTCTAGAAAAAAAATCCTAATAGATGAAACACATTTATGAGAAAAAAATTGCTTAATATTGCAGAATAATAACTGTCCTTTTAATGCTCATTTAAAGTATTGTCATTGTAGAACTGAGAATGTACTGTTAGCGTAATGCCTGTGGTTGTTTAATCTTAGAAGTTTTCAGAATTTAGCTTCATCATGGTAATGTTAATAGTTTTTCTTTTCTGTCAGACTTCTATTCAGAACCAACCATTTGTGTGCTAAGCACTGCTAAACCTCAGAAATAGGACAGCTTTTAATGTCTCAGCGTGGCTGAGCTTCAGTAAATAAATATTAATGCTGGTTTTGCCCCTTTTGCCATTCTGTCTTATTCAGAGTTAATTTCTGAAGTCAAAGTCCGTAGAGAGTCTCCCTGTGTAATATCAATTTGTACTGTTTGACAAGATCAATTCCTTGCAAGTAGAGCATATTAAGATGCAGCAACTGCTGAAAATGAACGAGTGGTAACTAATTCCTTTGTTCTTAAGAAAAAACGATTTTGCCTGGTTCCGTAGAAAGCTTTTTTTGTTGAGCTTTATTTAAACCAATTCTACAAAAATTTAAACGTAGTTTTACAGGAAATAAAAATCATTTTCTAAGTGCAGTACTCTTTTGTAAGCATTTTATGCTTAGCCTATGTTCATGTTTTATAAAATCTACATTCATAAATTTAAAGATGACAATTAGAATGCAAGGAAATGTGTATATCTCTCCTTCGCACCGACAGTGTGACTTGGTTGTTGGGCTATTTCTGATATACAGTACTTTTTTGTTTTGTGTGTGTGTGTGTGTGTGTGTGTGTGTGTGTGTGTGTGTGTGTGTGTGTGTTTTAAGTTTGCTGCCCCTTATCAGGCTTTATTGATTCAGTATACTCAGGTGTGTGACTGAGAAATGTTGTGCCTTTCCTTTTCAGTGTAGATCAGCTGAAATACATAACTCCTACACAGATAACACCTTAACCACACAGTCTCAACTTAAATACTTCAAATGGCATATTCCAAACAAAGTTGAAAATTGAATATGAAATCCATGTTTAAAGTAATGACAAAATAAGCATCCAAATCTTAAGAGCAAAGAAAAATTTAAAACTGTAGTAGAAATCTGTAGATCAATCTAAAAGAAATAACAACCTACCACTTTTCTGGTGTTTCTCCTTATTGGATTTTAAAATGGTAAATAGAGGCCAGGTGAAGTGCCCACACCTCTAATTCCAGCACTTTGGGAGGCCAAGACAGGGGGCTCACTTGAGGCTAGGAGTTCGAGATCAGCCTGAACAACTTAGTGAGACACCATCTCTACAAAAAATAAAAAATATTAGGCAGGCACAGTGGTGCACCTATAGATGCAGCCACTTAGGAGGCTGAGGCTGGAGGATTAATTGAGCCCTGAAGTTCAAGGCTACTGTGAGCTGTGATTTCACCACTATGCTCCAACTTGGGTGACAGAGTGAGACCCTACCTCAAAAAAAAAAAAAAAAAAAGGAAGATAAAAATTTAGTATTAATTAAAGGACCCAAATTGGTGAGTTTAACATTCACTTAGTCAACAGATACTTACTGAGCACCTACTATTTTTTTTTCCTTTTTTTTCTTTTTTTTAAATTGCATTTTAGGTTTTGGGGTACATGTGAAGAACATGCAAGATTGTTGCATAGGTACACACATGGCAGTGTGATTTGCTGCCTTCCTTCCCCTCACCTATATCTGTCATTTCTCCCGATGCTATCTCTCCACACTTCCCCACCTCCCCGTCCCTCCCCCATTTCCCCCCAATGGATCCCAGTGTGTAGTGCTCCCCTCCCCGTGTCCATGTGTTCTCATTGTTCAACACCCGCCTATGAGTGAGAACATGAGGTGTTTGATTTTCTGCTCTTGTGTCAGTTTGCTGAGAATGATGGTTTCCAGGTTCATCCATGTCCCTACAAAGGACACAAACTCATTGTTTTTGATGGCTGCGTAATATTCCATGGTGTATATGTACCACATTTTCTCTGTCCAGTCTATCATCGATGGGCATTTGGATTGGTTCCAGGTCTTTGCTATTGTAAACAGTGCTTCAATGAACATACGTGTGCATGTGTACTTATAGTAGAACGATTTATAATCCTTTGGATATATACCCAGTAATGGGATTGCTGGGTCAAATGGGATTTCTATTTTTAGGTCATTGAGGAATCGCCACACTATCTTCCACAATGGTTGAACTAATTTACACTCCCACCAACAGTGTAAAACTGTTCCTATTTCTCCACATCCTCTCCAGCATCTGTTGTCTCTAGATTTTTTAATGATCGCCATTCTAACTGGCGTGAGATGGTATCTCAATGTAGTTTTGATGTGCATTTCTCTAATGACCAGTGATGATGAGCATTTTTTCATATGTTTGTTGGCCTCCTGTACGTCTTCTTTTGTAAAGTGTCTGCTCATATCCTTCGCCCACTTTTGAATGGGCTTCTTTTTTTTTTTTTTCTTGTAGATCTGTTTTAGTTCTTTGTAAATTCTGAATATCAGCCCCTTGTCAGATGGGTAGACTGCAAAAATTTTTTCCCATTCTGTTGGTTGCCGATTCACTCTACTGACTGTTTCTTTTGCCGTGCAGCAGCTGTGGAGTTTGATTAGGTCCCATTTGTCTATTTTGGCTTTTGTTGCCAATGCTTTTGGCGTTTTGGCCGTGAAGTCCTTGCCTACGCCTGTGTCCTGAATGGTTTTGCCTAGATTTTCTTCTAGGGTTTTTATGGTGTTGGGTCTGATGTTTAAGTCTTTAATCCATCTGGAGTTAATTTTAGTGTAAGGTGTCAGGAAGGGGTCCAGTTTCTGCTTTCTGCACATGGCTAGCCAGTTTTCCCAACACCATTTATTAAACAGGGAATCCTTTCCCCATTGCTTGTTTTTGTCAGGTTTGTCAAAGATCGGACGGTTGTAGATATGTTGTGTTTCCTCTGAGGCCTCTGTTCTGTTCCATTGGTCTATATCTCTGTTTTGGTACCAGTACCATGCTGTTTTGATTACTGTAGCCTTGTAGTATAGTTTGAAGTCCAGTAGTGTGATGCTTCCTGCTTTGTTCTTTTTGCTTAGAATTGACTTGGCTATGCGGGCTCTCTTTTGGTTCCATGTGAAGTTTAAGGTGTTTTTTTCCAGTTCTGTGAAGAAGGTCATTGGTAGCTTGATGGGAATAGCGTTGAATTTGTAAATTACTTTGGGCAGTATGGCCATTTTCACAATGTTGATTCTTCCTAACCATGAACATGGAATGTTTCTCCATCTGTTTGTGTCCTCTCTTATTTCGTTGAGCAGTGGTTTGTAGTTCTCCTTGAAGAGGTCCTTTATGTTCCTTGTTAGTTGTATTCCTAGGTATTTTATTCTCTTTGTAGCAGTTGTGAATGGCAGTTCATTCTTGATTTGGCTCTCTTTAAGTCTATTACTGGTGTATAGGAATGCTTGTGATTTTTGCACGTTGATTTTGTATCCTGAGACTTTGCTGAAGTTGTTTATCAGTTTCAGGAGATTTTGGGTTGAGACAATGGGGTCTTCTAGATATACAATCATGTCATCTGTAAATAGAGACAATTTGATTTCCTCCTTTCCTATTTGAATACCCTTTATTTCTTTTTCTTGCCTGATTGCTCTGGCTAGAACTTCCAATACTATATTGAATAGGAGTGGTGAGAGAGGGCATCCTTGTCTAGTGCCAGATTTCAAAGGGAATGCTTCCAGTT